TTATATAACAGGACGATAGTATGTGTGTGTGTGTGTATATATATATATATATATATATATATACTAGGTGTGAGACCCATGTATTACATGGGTTTAATTAAAAAAAACAAATATAAAATTTTAATAATTTGAAAAGTTTGAATTTATAAAAAAAAATGAAAAAAATTTGAATTATTAAAATTAATGAGACTTTAATGTATTGAATACATTATATATATAAACTCTTTCTGATAAATACTTTACATATATATTACCTTACACATTAAATGTGGAATTTTAATTTAATAAAATAAAAAATACAATAAAATGACAAGTGGAAAATATAAATTTTAAAAATTCTAGAAAATGTCATGTATCCAAATGAATGAGAAAAGAACATGTGGTAAAATATATATATATATATATATATATATATATTTATATATATATATATATATAATATATATATATATATATATATATATATATATATATATATATTGAAATTTTGTTGTGTTGTGATGTCTTGAAAAACGCCAAGGTTTGTCTTGTCTCGCAAGGCTTGAGACTTGATTGTGTCGTCGTCTTACATTATTTACAACAATGCATACACTAAATCCAATTGATTACCGCATAAAATCGAGACTTTCATAACTTAGCATAATTTAGGGAAAAAACAAGTTACCTTGGATTCCAAGGTATGATATTTTCTTCGAAGGTACAATTAAATATTTTGTTATTTTAGTGGACAATTTCACATTCAAACATCCCTAAGTAACATGAATTTGTTAGATCACACGTAAGTGCAACTTATTTTTCTTTCTTAAACGCCAAAGCATTCATTCAAGCATACTTAATTTCATCACGTGTTTAAAACACAAGTGTACGGATTAGTTCAAAATGGAACTGAAAATACACCCATGATGCTACTAAAGTCTAAAAGTTGAAAATAACATAATCGTTCATCAGAATACATGCTTGATCATAGTGCATATATTGATTATGATTTAATTAAGCTAACAAATACGAGAAAATAGCATGTAATAAAATACGAAGATCAATAAATAGAAGCCAAGCTTGTAGAGTTTATTTGGCAATCCGAAAGTCTTTATAGCAAACATAGAAACATTGACAAACATCCTTATTGTGATCATCGCATTTTCCCCATCCTTTATCATGCAATTTTGCATATAATTGGTCGCATGACTTTGGTGAGCATGAAAGAGGTGGCTTTGACACTTGTTCATCTTTACATATCAAAGTTAACTTGCAGTTCACACCTATTTGATCATCAAATATATGTAAATCTCGTTATGACTTGACTTTGAAGACCAAAGTTCAAAATTTCGTTCACAAAACCAATATGCATTCCTTAGTTTTCTTTTAGTCTTGTTAAAAGATATATATCACGGTATATAGAAAAGTATATATTGATGAGATCATGAACTAGATTATTTCAAACTTAACTTGGATACAGATTCTATATATCTTTGCAATTTGCTTACTGAAGTATCAATGCATGCATATACACTAAATATACAAGAGAGATACATTGGTTTTATTGTAAATGAACCATGTTACAATTTATTTTGTGAAGTGACATGTTTGACCTTAAAAACCCCTTCACCCATAAGTTAATTTTCAAGGTCAAACTTAGAAAAACTGGCCATGAAATTTGATACACAATCGTATAAAAGTAGTTTAATTTTTTTAAGAGTATCACATAAGATATACTAAACATAGAATATCATGTGTAATTGTTGTCATGATTTTTACAAAAAAACAGATAAATTTTGAAATGCTAAATAAATCAACAACATATTAATGTAACCAAGAAGAGCTCTAAAGTCTAAACATGCGTACCAATAAATGGGTCAAATAGCATGAGGATTGCCAAAACTGCTACAAACAACCTCATTATTGAAGGTTTTAAGTTTTGCTTACAACTTCAAAGAGAGGGAGATTGGGTGCGTCTTTATCTAATGAGTAATGAGTTTTTAAAAGTTGAAAATTTTCGGTTTCTTTATAACTTGAAACTACTTTATTTAATGAATAATTAATTATTTTGTCTTTCAGTTTTAGTTTATAGCTTAATTAGGTGTTTTAATACAAAAAAAAAAATTGTATAAAAAAGTCAATTTTTTCTTTAATAACAAATTCAACCTAGTGAGTTTAAAATACGTGAATCTAGTAAAATAGCACACACTCGGTTTAAAATCTTGGAAGTAAGTCGGTATCACTTAAACGGTTAAACCCGTGTGCATTAATTTTCAATTTCAAAGCATCTTGAGTGTGGGGCAATACTTTTTTTTTTGGAAGACAGCAAAAATATATATATATATATATATATATATATATATATATATATATATATATATATATATATATATATATAAAAGAGTACAGATAGAAAGTTCAAAATCAAAAAATTACATACTTTCGGCAAAGATTCTACACTCTCCGATCCACCTTTTTGCATGAAGTTATATATTTGCACCAAATAAACGTTAGAGCTTTTATCCTTTCAACTATAATAAGCGGTCTCATGGGGATGCTCTCAAAACCCGTTAGTTTCTACCAATCCATATGCACCATAACGCTCCACATAGTATCATACTCAACAAGCTTTTTTTCTTATTACACTCGGACCATCTTGAGTTGACCAGAAACCTAATGGTTTTTGTCATGTATTGAATGAGATAAAAGTGACAACTTTTTATTCCACCAAAAGCACTGGACAACAAAAGAGTTGAATGCCCTTCTTCTCACTATCATTAATAATCCCAGAAAGTTAGTCAAGTTCGAGTTTACCTCTTACAACTTACAAGGATGCAACAATGTGACTATAGCATGGAATGATAGTCGGACAGAAGTGGCGGACCCAATCCCCGAAGGGTGCATGGATGTAAAAATTTCCATGCATGGTACCACAATGTTTTCTTGGACCATGTAATGTAAGCAATGATGGCCTTGATGGGGATAACCAAAATTGTAATTATATAGACAAAAATAATGTTTCTTGAGTTTTCCATTACAAGGAATTCATTTAATGTTAAATATAAATGAGTTCCCAATCCGGCTCCTAGAATTGCAGCATACATTCTTAGAGGCGGACACAAGAATGTTTATCAGTAGTGACATCAATTTTTTTTTTCTGATCAAATATAATAACATAGACCTTGAAAATGGGTCGTGTCGGGTTGGATTGAGACATTAAATTAGTTGAGAGTGATGGACTTGATAAATGAGTTGAGTCGGAACATAAAAACACAAATGCGTTTGATATTTGACTGTTAACCGAGTTGAGTTCGAGCCGAGCTTAGGCTCATTTAAGCACACGCGATAAACAAGTCAAGCTCAAGCCAAAGCTCGAGCTTTGAAATTTAATCTCAAATCAAGCCGAGGGTGAGCTCGAGCCCCATGAATTTTAAACAAGTCGAGCCCGAGCCTACCGAATTGGAGCTCGGCTCGTTTGGTTTATTTGTTTTCAGTTCTTTATGATTTCCCTCCAGATTGATATAATACTTGTTCTTTTTTTAGGACAAGAAAGGTTTAAGCATGGAGATGTTTATTAGGTGCATTTCATGCACCTGATTTGCATAAATATTTCATCTTTAGCATTGTATTTAGAAGCTAAAATCATTCATTTTTATATATTTTTGGTTATTTCTAGTCTATCAAGTGAACATTTTTATTTACACACGTTATGGTGTTTTTCATGTATATTTGAAGATTGGAATGCACAGGGAGGACCTAAAAGAAGCTCGGGACAAAACTTGGATGCAAACAGAGCAGAAATTAAGAAGTTAAAAAAATCAAGACGGGCCAAAACATTCAATTTCACTCGGCGCATGTTGAGCTATCAAAAATAGGTATGAATCCATAAAAGGCATGTTGACCATCTCTCCAACCGTTGACTTCATTCCACACGGAGCGAGTGGATTTGCACTTATTTCATCCAACAGAGACTCATCTACAATCCATTGACTTCTATAAAATTTATGAATTATCCTATTTCACTTCATACAACTTTACCATTTCTTTTCCATCGTACGTTTAACTCTAAAAATTTTCAATGTAACATATTGTCTAAAAAATTAGTTTTTCTATTGAATGTCAGTGTCCAACATTGAATTTAATCCATTAAATACTAACATTATATTTGAGGGTCATTCAACAATTACATTAAATTATGCATTATGAATGCTCTAAGGTTGTGTTTTGCACAAATAAATTAGATTTTTTTTGAAGTTATTTCAATTTAGTGTTTGGTGAAACCACTATAAGTTAACTCGAAGTTATTTTTTTAATAAGTTATTTGAGATGGTTTATTAATAAGTTATCTTACCACATTCTCTTCTATGCCGATTCCAATTTTTACCCCAAAAGTATGGTTCTTTGCCACACGAGAGAGAGAGAGAGAGAGAGAGAGAGAGAGAGAGAGAGAGAGAGAGAGAGAGAGAGAGAGAGAGAGAGAGAGAGAGTATTCGAAATCGAATGGTGTTCCCACCAGGTGATGTGAAAACCGTGGGTGCTATTGCAACTACACCCTCAAGCTTTATATGCCCAAAATACTAAATATAAGCACAACCCGAACACACATTGCTAAGCTTGGCTATTAAATCGTTTAGCTTCAAGGTTCCTTAAAATGGCCTAATCGCCTCTTCATGAGAGCTTGGAATGTAAGAGGGAGCAATAATGAAGTCAAAAGGCCAAGGTTCAAATAACGTTAGGTCTCAAGCATTTTCGACCATAACGTGCTACGTCGTTTATAAGAGGTGACTTAAAACAACAATTTTGTATATAATAAATAATTCTATATATATTTTCTACTATTTTTCATTTTTATATACATATATGATTTAACACAACACTTTGTTAAAGTTCAACTGCAAATAGAAACATTGGAGCCATGACAAATTTTATAGAATCTTGGATATTACTAAGAATTCATAATACTCGTAATGAGTTTTAGCACATCCTTTACAGCCTCTCACTTAATTTTTTTTAAAAGAATCTTATTATAACGGAAATGCTTTACTGTGTAAACTGTAATACAACAATACATTGATTAGAATTGTAACTTTGCAATGAGTAGACTTAATGTTATAAAGAACACATATAACCCAACAAGACAGAACCCCCAAAACCTTGGAACCTGAAATCTACACCATGTCACAACCAACAACGACCCCATAAGGCTCAAAACCAAGAACACAAACGCCACCACAATACTAACATGAAATTCAAGCTCATAAGCCTCTGGATAAACATTAAACGTCTGTATAACCAAAGCACTTCCAAGCCCAAAAAGCATATTAAACATCGGTCCAGCAAAGCATCCAGCCATAGCCATGGCAGGTTGCCCTGCTTTTGCCACAGCAACATCCGTCACTAGATCCCCTACTGAGTTCCCCCATGCCAACACAGTCAACCCTAGCAGAGAGTGCGGCACCTCCAGGAGTGACCCTAATGCCGCCAGACAGTTGAGAAGCTCTCCGGCCATGGTGGAGATCCAACACACACTCATGACGAATCCCATTAGAACTATTGGCAGTTGCTCTGTTTTGGGGGGCTTTTTTTCGACTATGTAATGAACTAGTGATAGTGATGAGGTCCCAAAGAGTAGGATTAACCACAGAGGGAGATGGATGTTAGGAAAGAGAAATGAAATTGGATGATTTAGAGGGATGAAGGATTTGCAGGAGTACATTAGAGCGAGAGGACATAACGCAATGTTTGCAGATCGATAGAATCTGTTCCATTGTGAAGGTGATGATTGTGGGATTGTTAGGTTTAACATTACTCTCACTGGAACTTCCCATGTTTTTGATATCTGTTTAATCACGAAACTCATTCAATGTTGCATTCAAACAAGATAAAGAACCAAAAAGAGGATGTATAGTTAATAGTTACTCCATGATCAAGAACATACCTTGTTAAAAGCTTGTCGAATCCCAGAGGTTGTCTTCTTCTTGTTAAAATCCATGGAATTACTTCCATTTTCAGGGTCAATTTCCATGGAACCTTTATGATCCTGAACTTCACTACCACCACGCTTCAATTTCCCACCACTATCCATCCAAAACACAAAACCAACGAAAAACAGATAGAACCCTACGAATCCAACGGCCTGCCATAGGTAAATCTCAGCACTAAGATACACATAGAACAGAAACAACGCCGCCGTAAGATAAAACAACACATCCCTTATAAAAGGCGCAGGGGAGACGGCGAAGGGAGCTGCGTAGATCGCGACGAAACCAACGACGAGAGCTGAAACGAAAGTCCCGGCGGATAAAATCGCGCCGAATCCAGTTCGGGGGTTTCCGCCACCGACGGCGGCGACAGATGCGAACACATCAGGAGCGCCGTTTCCGAGTGCTAGAAGAGTGACTGCCCCCATACTCGGGGATAGATTCAAGTGAGTGGATAGTTTAGTGACGACGACAGAGAACTGATCTTGGGCGGTTTTGACGAGGATGTAGAACTGTAGGACGACGGTGAGGGAGAGAAAGGGGACTGAGAGAAATGGGTTTTGATTGAAGTGACAGAAGTGGAAGGAGAAGTAGTTGAGGAGGCCATTGGAGTGGGCGGAGCAGTGGAGGGTGGAAAAGGAGCAGCGGCGATCTTGTGGGATTTGAAGAATGTGTGAACAAGTGGTGGTGGTGGTGGTGTTGAGGAGTGACCTCCGGTGGATTTGGGTGGTGGGGAGACCCTGGTGATTGTTTGATGAGGGGAATTGAAGGAGGAAGAAGAAGATCAAAGTGAGGAGGATGATGAGTGAGGTTGATGCGGTTTTGGGGAAGGAGAAGACCGCCATGCCATCCCCAAAATCCTGCTTTCGATCGGAGTCTGGCCTTGAAAGTGTTTTTGATTTCTGTATACGCGTTTTGCCAATCAAAAATCATATGACGTCAATTAACAACGGAATAATCTATAAAATATAATTACATTTATTTTATTTTTCTAATGGAGTTTATAAAAATTTCGTTATCGAACAGGTTGATTTTTATTTAGAAAAAAAATAATTAATATTTGTAATTTAACCAAGTTATTAGAGAAATTTAGATTTATTTAGAAACAAATAACTAAGGTCTCGTAATAAGTTAATATATTGTAATCTAAAATTTGTTAAGACTAAGACCACAAAAATAGTTCATTGTAACTTATAAAATAGTTTATTGATAAACTACCTTAAGATAACTTATTAATAAACTAACACATAAACTAAAATCTAACTTTTCATCAGCGCTAAACAAAGCCTACATGAATAACAAAAAAATGAGGAAGACATCATACATGGGCTAAAATTTTGTCTAAAATGAAAATCAACGTATTTATCCTCCATGTTCATTAAGAACTTCAAAAACATCGAATGATTCCCAAGTAGTAGCCTTTAAGAGAGAGTGAGAAGAACAAAGAAGTGATCTTGTCATTCTATTCATAATCTTATTGTTCTAAAAAATATCCAACAAGTCCACATCAACTTGCTGACATTCTCACATAGTCATTATTACAAAAGACAAATAGACTTCATTTGTAACAATTAGCAGATTCTTAAGTTTATTTGTGTTCCCTTTTCAAGTTGTAATTTGTATATAAACTGCATGTAGATGGCTTTTTTTTTTTAAATCATAGATACTGATTATTTATACAATTGAAAAAAGAACAATGAGCATGTTTCATGATTTCATCATGAAAAAAACTTTTTTTTAACAAATTCAACATAATATGCAACTATTAACTCATATAACACAAAATTTCACTGGATTTGGCATTAAAATGTATCGACTTCTCAAGTACTAACCAAAACCAATGCATATGTTAGGGAAATCAACATGTATTTCCTTATTTAATGAAAATAAAAAAAACAAAGCCATGATCCACCACCATTCATATGCTTCAGTAATATCATTGGATTCACTGGAAAGTGAATTATATTTAAAACTCCAAAATCTGCAAAAATCAAAAAACAATTTCAATCAATACTCATGGTATACTGATATCAATCTTAGCTACTACAACTTTAATGTAAAATCACATAAGAAAAGAACACATACACTTACCACTTCCATGTTCTATGAATCCGAGGGTGATTGAGGCTGCTGAGGTGGCGGTGGCCAGATGGCGGGACCCATATAAGGTGGAGCCTGCTGTGCATAAAGAGCAGGATCCAACATAGCCTTGTTTGACATCATCCCTGGTGCTCCTGACTGTGGTGACTGCTGAGCTGGCATGTAATAGTAAGGAAAAGCATCCGAAGGCCCGCCAACTGGCACAGTGACAGCTGGCATAGATGTCATACCTTCATCTTTAATATCCTCTCTTGGGACAATATCAACCAAAAAGTCAAAAATATCAGTCCTTGTGATTGCAGCAGCAATATCATTCTTCTGTAATGTCCTTCTTTTATTCTCCTCAGTGTGATTCCATGACCTTAAAGTCAACTCCAATATGAACATTTCACATGCCCTTGCAAACACAATTGGTGCTTCTGCTGATATCATCCTCACATCTTCATCAGCTTTCATGATTTTCTTGATTCTTGCTAATGGAAGACTGTGGTTCTTGAAGTCAGTGACATTTTCGATTTCTCTGTATTGATTTGCCCAAAATGATTGGAGTTGTTGTTGAAGTTGCTGCTGTTGTTGTTGTTGGATTTGTTGATAAGCTAACTGTTGTTGTGCTAATTGAGCTGCTGTAGGCTGATTTGTTGCTTGAATTGCACCACCTACCTGTACTCTCCCAGGGGTCCCACTCAGTTGAGTTGACTCGTATGGATTTGTTGCATATGATAACTGAGTTACGCTGCTCATCATGTTGCTAGATTGGGGCTGCCCATGCCCTTGTGGATCCATGATTGGATGCAAAAATGGTAGGTCGATTTCCTAAATCAAAATCATCATGTTAATCGTGAAGAACATATATTACTGATTGGGCTTCTGAATGTTACTTTCAATGCAAATTTTTTGAACTTCCTTTCAGTAATTCATAACGAAAAAGGAAAAGGTTTTGCGATCGACTAGCAAAAAAAAGCGTATGAAAATGAAACGTGAGATTTCGGAAGTACTAGCTTTCAAATCAAAAGGTGTAAATGTGAAGGAGACAGAACCTGAATCACGATTCGATGATAGACGAATGAGAAAGAAGGAGAGAGATCGTGAATCAGGTTAATGATGCAGTTCTAATGAACCATTTGAATCCTGCAAAACGAACATAATCGAAATCGATGAGTGAAATTCGGTAAATTGTGATATTTTTAGGGGAAACAAGAGAGTGTTGATTCTTACACGCAACAGAAAGTTCTGATATTGATCTTTGATCTTTAATCTTTGATTGTGTTCTTGATGGCTACGATCACCTTTCGTTCGTCTGGTTTCCTTGGGAGCAAATCCCAGAAACACTCACCGGCCAAACAAACTTTTCAAATGTTTTTATGTTGGTATTTGACTATTTGCTAAAAGGAATTATTCTCATAAATAATTTGGTTAATATGCTTCTTCTTGTAACGCTAATTTTTATAATTATTCTTTGGGTCCCAAAAAATATTCTCCTTCACTTTTTTCATTAAAAATAATAGTAATACATTTTTATCTATGTTATATTATAATATTTAGTTTTTTTATTGTTAGGAAAGAAGAGTTTACATATTTACTTATTTAGACATTAAACACTATATTAGTATATTAAAGCAAAAATGTGATAATCGTCGTAGTGTCTTACTCTTTTACAATCTTAGGTTTGATATTGCTACAAAACCAATTTTATTGTCATTCTTATAATTTTCCCAAACCAAGGGAACTACAACATGGTAAAACTATCATTGTCAAGTCTTTTTTTTTTATCTCAAGCCTCAAACATATAGTCTAGGAACTAACTAAGTTATATCATGTTGCATTTTTATGTGTTTCTATCGCATTAATGGTACTTCAATTTTTCATTAAGATGTTTTATTTTGAAATTCTTTATCTAATTATATCATTGTATTTTCATAACAAAATATTAATAATCTTATTAAAATGTTATACCCATCATATAATGGTGAAATTTATTTTTGGATGACAATGTAATTTGGTAAATGTTATAAAATAAAATAATTTAAGAAGTATAGATAAAAGTAAAATGCCATGATAGACTAATCAACAAACACATATAATTGTTTCTTACATTTTCTCTTTACGAGATAGTAATAATCTACACAACACAATTAATAAATGGGATAATAACTTAAAATGGTACTTTTTTATTTGTGCACGATTTGGTCATTGAGTTTTTTTTTATAATTCATATTTGTCTTTTCAACTTATTTAACTGTACACATCGGAAAAATGATCTAATAGGGTAATATATTTCTTATTTTGTACAAATTTAATCTTATATATATATATATATATATATATATATATATATATATATATATATTGTTGCAAAATAAGTTCTTGTTGTTTTTGTACACATTCAATACTTATGACCAATTTTTTTAAGTTTTCTCACATCCTACATTGAACAATCATTAATAAGGTGTATGAGATTGTTAATGTTTATGGTCAGTACGACCTCAGTTGTATGGTTGTTTAGGTCTTGTGCTTCGCTTAGGCCTTGTGTTATGAACGTCGTAACTGCTTCGTACGATCTCGGATTTTAACGATCTTTATATTAACGCGTTTGTATTTGAGTCTACTACAAATTTTGTTTAGATTATATTTTTACTTACGGTCTTTATATATATATATATATATATATATATATATATATATATATATATATATATATATATATATATATGTGTGTGTGTGTGTGTGTGTGTGTGTGTGTGTGTGTGTGTGTTCTTTATAAATGTATGTATGAATATTTTTTATAAAATCGTAAATAAAAATATACTACATTTTAAGTTTTAACGGGAATAATCTAAACGAAAATTATATTAGACTCAAATACCAACGTGTGAATATAAATATCGTTAAAATCCGAGATCATATGAAAAAATTACGACGTTCAGAACACGAGACCTAAGCACCAAACAATCGAGGTGGCGGTGGCTATAAGCATGAACAGCCCAAACACTTCATTAATGATTGTTCCACGTAGGATGTTGTAAGAAAAACCTTTAAAAAAATCGTTCATAAGTATTAAATGTGTAAAAAAAACAATGATTTATTTTGCAACAAATATATATATATATATATATATATATATATATATATATATATTAATGACTAAATGTGTAAAAATATATTAAAAACTAAATGTTTACAAAATGAATAATATAAATTACCTTGTTAAGCCGTATTTTCGGCTTACCTAAAGTAGCCGATTATAAGGATTAAGTGTGTACAGTTAAACAAGTTGAGGAGACAAATCTGGACGGAAAAAAAACTCAGTGACCAAATGTATAAAAATCGAAAAGTATATTACCATTTTAATTTATTATTACTTAAAAAAACCTTACTTATCAAATGTATACATCAAACTTTGGTCCTGATCGACAAACGTTATGGTCACTTTTAGAAAAAATGAAACAACATTTACTACATGAAAACACTAACAAAGTTGACCAAATTATGTGTCTAAGAAAGCTTAGGTAAGACTAATATTTTATACGATCAGTTGTTATTAAACAGCATTAATCCTTCCTCGTATGTAACATGTTTAGGGTAAACTACAATTTATCTGTTTTGTTTTTGTCTTTCCGGTTTATCGGAAATTATAGATTTTGTTCCTAGATTTTTATTTTTTATTTTTTCGACCCTAATAAAATTGGTAACATTATTTGTACAAGGTTTTTAAGCATACGCATTGTGGCAAAAGTTTATGCAATCTTTTTTTTTTTTTTTTTTGTGAAAATTGATGGTGTTGGGGATAAAAATAAAGAAATGTGTGGCAAAAACAAAAATAACAATGTACTTTCTATTTTTGTCACACACATACACAACCATACTCATACAACAAAGTCACATACAACCACAATTAGGGTTGAAATTTAAAACCGAAAAACCAGAACCAGATTGACTGGAATATGTAGAATCGGTCTGTGTATCAAGTTGTTAAGTGGCTTTATCAGGTTTCGGGTAATCCGAATTTGGAGCAATCGGGTGTTGTTAAAATGGGTGCGTGTGTGGCAGACCAATAACAAAATATCAGGGGTAGCACACGTAAATTTTTGGGGAAGCGCACCAAGAAAATTGCACTACAATTTTTTTTCACTACATCAAAAAATTTGAGGGGTAGCAACTTAATAATCTTAATGGGTTAAGTACTTAATAAAGACAACTATATATGATTTTTACCCTTTGCCTTTTGCCTATTTGTGCTTTTTACCCTTCAACTTCTCTAACAAATATTATGAATTTTCCTTTTGAAATGTAAGGTTAAATGATCATGTTTAGATGATTTAGTCGGTCTACATTATTTATACAACAATTTTTCTAAGCAGACACCATTACTCATTAATGAGATGTGCAAAAAATATCCCCCAAGTAATATTAAAGAAATGAGCATTTTACCCCAATCTCTTCGTTTCCTTCATTCTTTTTTTCCCTTCATTATAAGAACCCTAAAATCACATACTTTTGTTTTATTCCTTCAACAACAATAACATCAAACATATCTATAAAGTCAAATCAAATCAAAACCATAATAAGCTAATACCAACGATTGTATTTATACACTACACTTCATTCAAATCTTGAAGTTGCCATAATGCGCATTTGGGGTCAGTAAATCGATTTTAGATTTGATTTAAAATAATTGATAAGATCAATGATCGAAAAATATCATTGGTTTCATGAATAGAAAAAAAAAATCTTTTTTAATAAAGACCCAAAAAAATACTGAACTCAAAAACATAAATTCAAGAGCTTGGTTCCTACCATTTGTCAAAATTTTGGCCACCAATTTTCTGAAATTGACCCATGAACAATGGAAATAAAAAATATTCCATTTTCAACTCCTGTTAATTTGATAATTGCAACTCTGATATACAAGTATAGTATTTACAAAAGAACTATCTGTTTTCTTTCTTTTTCTTGATGATGATGAATATTCAAGAAGAGAGGAAGCTTACTTATGTATGCATCAAACATTATCTGGCCAAAACTCCCTAAAGAAAGCACGTTGGAATTCATTCTCTTGTAACCTCTTCTCAATTTCTTGAGCTTTCTTCATCTTCTTTGACAATTTTGCTTTACTTTTCTTTGATAACTGAAACCAACATTCAGATAAACATCAGTGAGGTAATTACTAATTACAAACAAAAAAACAAATTTAAAGATGAAATCCAAATGCATCAAAACAAAAGGGCAACTTACTTTATCATTAGTCTTATCAGAAGCCAAGTTTTTTTGATCCCCTGTGTTCTGTGATTTCTTTATCTCTGCTGCACCCAACCCTCGTTTGTTCTTCTTTAAAAATGCCTGCACAGGCTCCAACCTTCCCTGTTTAAAGAAAGAATGATTAGTTGCTTCACAATGGAACATTGCATCCGAGTCTGATCGATCATAATTGAACAAAAACTCGATGTGTAACATTGAATTAGAGCGCATCGTAAATCTACTTAGAAAGTCACATTAGGGTTTCCGAATAGGTGAACTTACCTGTTCAGAAATACCAAGGCCGGTTCCTTCTTTCCAACCGTGTTTTTTCAGCAGCTTCATGAACAAAAACGAAGATACAATTACAAACTAGGAATTGAACAATTGTGTAAACGGAGATGGAAATGAAAGTGTATATGGAGAAACATCAAAGAAAGATAATTTCACCTGAAAACCAATATTAGAGGAGGAGATGGGCGTTGCAGTAGATGAACCCTCCGAATTCGACATTCCTCTTTAAGTTCTCCGGCAAAGTCTCCACCAGTTGGCTGAGTTTTGCGATCTTTCGGTACTCCGGCGCAAGACTCCACCACCTGCGGTGAAATTCGATTTTTCGATTTGATAAGACCTAGAATGGCGATGAAATTGGGGGAAAAGAAATCTGCATATTTTCTAATTTCTAATCAAAAATTTCACTTTTTAAAATGTATGGTCCTTTTGAGTTTTGAGCTAGTTTTATTTTCTTTTTGCTTCTTTTGAATATTTGAAATAACTGAAATACCGAGTTATTTATTTTCATTTTTTTTATTTTTTTTAAATCTAACAGTTATTTATTTATTTTAGAAATGAAAAAATAACAGGTGTTCATCTCTCTCTTTCAAGAATGATCGATTAAAATCCAAACTACGATTTTCATGAAGATGATAAAGTATCGTTCATATGCAAATTCATAATGTGGTGACCCAGATTTACAGGGGCCAATTCACCTTACTCTGTCTCTTCTATTTCTGAAACGTTGTCGTTGAAATCGGCACCAATTTCACCATCACATCCAAAGAAAACGACGAAGACGTTGATTTTGCAGACACCATGATGCGTGTGTGGAGGAGGAATGCCAGAATGTTGATGGGATGGTACTTTAATGGATCCCTGTTGAATCTATCGTATACCCCAGGCATTCTAATAGATTCACAGCAACAAAACACTCAATAATACCAGAAAAATAGGATAGAATTATCATTCATTCGAGAGGAATGGACTCTCCAAAAGAAGAACAATGTTCTCTTACAAATTAATTCTTAGCTACTGACTCTCTAAAATAAAGGACTGTATATACTATCACTAGAGACAAGACAAAAGGGAATCATAGCCAGCATAACCAGGTGCTCTTCCCACTAACATAACAGCCAATAACAGCCATAATACCAAATGGACCAAACTACCCTTACAACCAAAAAGATAGCAGAATAACTCTATCAAAGCAAATCAACTAAAAGCACTCTAGGATTAGTTGGGCTTATCATACTTCTTATTGGATTCTAAGGCTATTTGGGCTCAACGGCCCGTGGGGTTAACATGGTGATCTTGGTGGATTATGGTTACATTTTCAACTCATGAAAACGTTTTTAGGCATTTAATAGGTTTAGTTAATAAGCTTAAGTAGTGTTTTTCTTATTAGCTTTTAATTAACTTTTATTATGTTTAATAAATATGTTTAATTAGTGTGGCTTTTGAGTTTGTAACCTTTGGTTGTTATAGGCTTTAAATAGCCATTTGATTCATCATTTGAAATAATCGAAAAATTCAGAAAACCCCTTGTGTTCATTCGAATTATTGCCATGATTCACATTTTATCATCTTTTGGACGTGCTCCTTAAGTTGATCGAATTCAAACTAATAGGTCTTAGTTTGTTTCCAAAGTTGATCGAATTCAAACTAATAGGACTTAGTTTGTTTCCAGATTTACAAGCTATAGGTCGAGTTTGTTAATCAAATCTATCTTTTTTTTACTTGTTCGTGTTTATCACATTTCCAAATTGTTACAAATATAACATATTACAGTCCCATTTGCATTGTTTCTTCTTTGTTTGTTATTATTCCACTGTAATCATAAACACCTCCCATTTTCGTATCTTAAGAATGATGTGTGTATGGAGGAGGAAGGCCATAATGTTGATGGGATGGTACTTCTTATTGGATTCGAAGGCTATTTGGGCTCAATGGCTCGTAGGGTTGACATGGTGATCTTGGTGGATTAGGGTTACATTTTCAACTCTTGAAAATGTTTTTAGGCATTTAATAGGTTTAGTTAATAAGCCTTAAGTAGTGTTTTTATGATTACCGTTTAATTAACTTTTATTATGTTTAATAAATATGTTTAATTAGTATGGCTTTTGAGTATGTAACCGCTGGTTGTTATGAGATTTAAATATTCATTTGATTCATCATTTGAAATAATCGAAAATTTCAAAAAACCCCTTGTGTTCATTCAAATTATTGCCATAATTCACATTTTATCATCTTTTGGATGTCCTCCTTAAATTGATCGAATTCAAACTAATAGGTCTTAGTTTGTTTTCAGATTTACAAGTTATAGGTCTAGTTTGTTTATCAAATCTATCTTTTTTTTACTTGTTCGTGTTTATCACCTTTCCAATATTGTTACAAATATAACCTATTACAGTCTCATTTGCATTGTTTTTTCTTTGTTTGTTATTATTCCGCTGCAATCATAAACACCTCCTGTAACGCCCCGATTCTCAGGTATTGATTTTATATAAGAATTTTCTTGAATTCAAGGTCTACTCGATGAGTTACTTGCCCTACTCGTCGAGTAGCAACGAGTTGGTCCACGAGTTTTAGTGACCTACTCGCCGAGTCTAAGAAGGGACTTGACGAGCAGGAGTTGGCAGATGAAACCCTAAATTTCGGAGTATTGCACCCTATTTAAAGGATCATTGGCCTCCCCCAGCCTCCCCTTTACAGCTCCTTGGCACCCTTAAACCCTAAATTATGTGCGTGTTTCTTTGGTGTGTTAAAGCTTAGAAGAGGGATCTTGGTGAAGAAAGACTTGGGGAAATAAGTAAATTGAAGCAAGAAACTCGTGGGAAGCAAAGATCTACTTCATTTGACACCCTCTTGAAGGTATTAGGTTGTTACCTTGGCTCATTTCATCTTAAATCTCTTTTGGGTGGGTTTTAGGAAAGGTTTCTTATGTTTGAGCCAAGATCTGAAGTTGCAACTTCAGATCCGGACTCCCTTTGGCCTTTAGATCCATAAAGTTATCACCTTTGGAAAGTATGAGCCTTCCCTCAAGTGTGAGACTTCTTTGCAAGCTTGTTTTGTCATTTTTAAACTTTAGAGCTTTGCATGCATTAAAGTTTGCAACTTTACATGATGAACATGCATTGGGAAGCTGGATCTGCATTTCAACGAGTCCGATGAAGATTGTCGTGGGCTCAACGAGTCAGATGAGTGACTCGGCGAGTCGGCTAGGGTTTTCCTAACCTTTGGACACGTATGAACGCGACGAGTTGTAAGGGAAAAGCTCGACGAGTTGGCCAAGGAGTTTACGGCCACTGAAACTAGTAACGCGACGAGTCACTCAAGTGACTCAACGAGTTGGCATGTTATGCCAGGAACTCGGCGAGTTGAGGTCAACATGGACTGTTGACCTTGATATTTGACTTTGACTTTGACCAATGGTTGACTATTGGACTTCTGGGGCATTATGGGGAATTTATAAGCATGGTGGGGACATTTAGTCAAGAAGGTCGTGATGTGTATTAACTTAGCATTTATTGTGTGATAGTGTGGGATTTCCGGTGAGACAGCAGTCCGATATTTGTATTACTTCAGCACTACTTGCAAGGTGAGTTACCTCACTATACTACGGGGTCTAAGGCACCAAGGTCGACCCATCAGATATGTTATCCTAGCAGTGGTATCATGATTGAGTATGAGTTAGTTTGCATTCTAGTTGCTATGCCATTTGGTAGATTTGTAGGACTACTTGTGTTATTATCTGATAGTTTGTATGCCTAATGGACATGATAACCTAGCAGTTGGTATTATATTTAGTATGAGTTAGTATTGCATGCTAGTTCTTAAGCCAATTAGGCAAATCTTTATGACTACCTATAGTATTATGTGATTATATGTATGTGCATCAGTTATTGTCACACCCCCAAACCAGAACGGTGGAATCATCCAAGGGTGGATGACTTCATGTAGTATCATAATAGTTGAATAAATAGTAAAGAAAGCAAACACAACCATCATAAATATAATTTAAAAAGTTACATTGTTGATTGTATTACATGTTTCAAAAGAAATTATATTATGATGATAAAATAAGTTTGAAATTGACGCCTTAGCATCCCTTCCCCAAAAGTTGTTGTTACATGTATTACTGAATCCCTGAGAAATACAAGTGATTTTGAAAATGTGTCGACATTTAAGTTGGTGAGTCCATAAGCGTTTTTGTATAAGAATTATATACCTTTTGAATAAAGTAATTGGGTTTGTTTCTATAAAATCCAATATTTTCCATAAATGAATAGTAGTTTTAAAAGTTCCAAAAAACGCGAAATCTATAAGTATTTTCCATACCTAAAATAGTGTAAGTAGATTTTATATATGTATATATAACTACTAAGGAATTCAATAGCCCCGTAAATCAAATGTTTTAATACTTCATGTGAGTTTTATAACCGTACTATTGACACAGACTGACTGTCACAATGTTCTTCAGGCGTTGGAATGATATGACGTTTGTCACCCCGGACCTGTCAGTCCAACTGTAGCTAACAGTTTAGGTGTGGCATTGTCAATCCCGTATAGATCTATACACAACTATCACGCTCTCCCTACAAGAGATTATTGTATATAACACAGGACTTAAAATACGTACATGAAAGTACGTGAAGTCAGATGTCTCACAAAGCTTGTATCAAATAGAGTTACGTATGAAAAGTCCATTGTTCTTGTAAATGTAAGTATTTCCTTTCTATAGTGTTTATAGAGTGTAAAATATCATAAATATCTCATAAATTATACCTATTATAGTTTTCCAAAAATGTATTTCATTTGCATGATAAACCTTAGTGTGTTACTAATTAACTTGCATGTAAAGTATAACATTTGTAATAATGTTATTTTATGTATTTAACACTTATACACAAAATGTAGATAAACTATTTGAAACTGTACGTAATGATTTTCATTTTAACATAAGTTTTTATTGCATTTCACTTGTATTTCTCCCCATAAAATATAGTAAAAATGTGAAAATATAGGGGTATGAACTCACCTGGAAATTGTGGTGATTTGACGAAAACATGACTTTTCTCGGGCAGCACTTCAACCGGAAAGTGGAAAAGTTCTCGGGAATCTCGGGGCTTCGAACCTTTGTCGTAGCTTGGATACGTAACCGGGGCGTCGGGATAGTTTCGAGAGGCTCGAGAGTGAGAAAATATGGGAGAAAGGTTGTAAGTTGGCAAGAATAGCCGGAACCCTCGCATCCTATTTATAGGAGGGGAACTTGGCCTACTGGGCGTATGTCAGCGATAATGTTACCCTCAGATGTTGGACTTCAGATTGGATGGGCTAGAGTGCATAGGGGAGACGTGGTGGATCTGAGGTCTTGCACCGAGTACGTTGGGCGTACCCTTGTACGATATAGCGTACTCCCCTCG